ATTGCCCCAAAGGATTTATAAGACTGTAATCTTTTAAAATATTTTTACTGTGATTTGAATGGCAGTTCACAAAGCATTTTTTCCAATTAATAATTCCTGCACATAACTGTTTGTCATATATTACTTAATTTTACATTCCCCCTTCTCCCCTCACTGGTACTACAACGATTCTCTCTCTCTCTCTAGCCCTTTTCCAGCCCTTTATAACTGTTATTTGTCTTTTTTTTTTTTTGGCTGACTTAATTAACTCAGAGTAAAGTACTGCCTACTTATCCCTGCCATGTAGTACATGTAGTATTGCATGGATCCTTCCTTGTTGTTTCAACATTACAACATTGTGCATATAATTTCTCAGTCCATTTGTTTACTGATGGACACTTGGATTGTTTCCATCTCTTTCCTATTAGAAATAAAATGACAGTAAACATTGGTGCACATGTATCTGTTAGTTTTGTTAGGAGCTGTGCTGCCATACCAAAGGTACATGGTTTGAATCCACTACCTCTTCTGCAGAAGAAAGATGGGCAGTCTCTTCCCATGCAATTTATTACCTCTGAAAATCTGCTGGTTGGTCAGTTATGATTCAGTTGTGATTTGATGGTATACAACAACAACCTAGTAGTGGAATTAAAAAAAAAAAAACCACCAAACACCAAACCTTATTGCTGTTGAGTCTGAACTTGACTCATAACTGAGCCTCCAGCTGACTTTTAGAGGCTCTCTATCACATAGGAGGAGTTTGTCCATCTTTCTTTCATGAAGCCTCTGGTAGATTTGAACCTCCAGAGAAGCACAGCCCTTGTGTTTTAGCACAATGCCCCATGTACTCCACCACCAGAGCTCCCTGGTAGTCATGGAATATTATTTCTATTTCCCACTTTTAAAGTGATTGAACCAGCAGTATGTGAGACTTCCAATCTCATTTTACTCTTACCAGCTCTTTAAAAAAATTTTTCTTTTATATTGGTTTTCATGTAAAATTTGTACACGTTGTGTTTCACACTTTCCTTCATTCGTCTTGTATTTCATACAATCATTCCCAAGCACTGTGTTTCATAAAGTTAGTCCTCATTGCGTTATGCCCACCATCACCCATCTTTTCAGGTCTCTGCTGATCTTTCCCATTTCATTCACTCCCTCCCTCCCCCTACCATATTGTGCAACTCTCTCTCTCTCTAGCCCTTTTCCAGCTCTTTATAACTGTTATTTGTTTGTTTATTTTTTTGGCTGACTTAATTAACTCAGAGTAAAGTGCTACCTACATATCCCTGCCATGAAGTATTGTATGGATTCTTCCTTGTTGTTTCAATATTACACATTACAGCATTGTGCATATAATCCTCACCACTTTGCTTCCCCCCTACACCAGCTGCCATGGGTTCCCATACACATTTCACTAATTATCCTTCTATTATTTCAATAATGGTCTTGGGAAGTATGTGTCGTTATGGGACTGAGTTAGTTTACTTATCATAATGTTCTCTAGTCTCTTCCAAGTTATGTTGTAATTTTCAGAGCCATTGCTAATTGCTTCATAGTATTCTATCATGGGCTGGTGCCACAATTTCTCACATTCGATTGCGGCTAGACATTTAGGCTGTTTCCATGTTCTTGAAATTGTGAATAATGCTGCTATGGACATTGGAGTACAAGTGTCTATTTGTGCCTCATTTCTAATTTGCTGACTGTATGTTCCTAGTAGTGGAATAACTGGGTCATGTGGAATTTCTGTGTTCAGCTTTTCGAGGAAATGCCAAAATGCCTTCTTTTAGAATGGTTGTACCATTTTACAATCCTACCAACAGGGTATAAGAGTTCCTATCTCTCCACATCCTCTCCAATTTTTATTACTTGCTGTCCTGTTAAACTTTGCCACTGCTACTGCAGTGAGATTGTATCTCATTGTGCTTTTGATTTAAATTTCTTTTATTGCCAGTAATTTTGAGCATTTTTTCATGTGTCTGTTAGCTATCTGAATATCTTCCTCTGTAAAAATTCTTCCCATGTCTTTTGCCCATTTTGTAATTGGGTTATCAATCTTTTTCTTGTGGAGGTCCTCTAGGATTCTCTAAGTTTTTGATTGGGACCATATCAAAAATGGTATTGTCAAATGTTTTTTTCCCCAGTCTTTTCACTCTGTTAGAAAATGTTTTTGATGTGCACAGGGACTTAATCTTTATAAGGTCCCATTCAATTTTATCCTCTCCTGATTGTGCATTTCTGGCTGTAGTTGGCAGTCTCTCTATACCATAGATTAGGCTGTCTAAGCTTGATTCCAGTTTGTCTCTGATGAGCTTTATGGTTTGAGGCTTTACTCCCAGGCCTCTGATTCACCTTGAGGTGATTTTTGTTTACAGTGTGAGCTGTGGATCCTGTTTCAGCTTTCTGCAGGTAACAGTCCTATTTTGCCAGCACCATTTGTTGAAGAGGTTGTCATTTCCCCATTTGATAGGTTTTATTTCCTTATCGAATAGCAGTTGTTCGTAGATCGATGGGTTAATTTCTGGTTTCTCGATTCTGTTCCATTACTTAATGTGTGTTATTATACTAGTACCATGCTGTTTTATTTATTTATTACAGCTGTACAGTAGGTTTGAAGGTCAGGGAGTGCTATGCCTCCCACCTCACTTGGTTTCAGAAGTGTTCTGCTTATTCCGGGTCTCTTTTCTCTCCATGTAAATTTGACAATTTCCTGTTCTCTTTGAAAACTGAATATGATATTTGCATTGGGATTGCATTAAACATCCCCTATCAGCATTTGTTACTTATGGTTTTGTTGAACTTTTTCTATTGTTGCTGGGGTGTGACGATAGTTCATTGTTGTTTTGAAGGCTGTAATCCTTACAGAAACAGCCACAGATTTTTCCCACACAGCAGCTGGTGACTTTAAACCACTGACTTTTTAATGTGCAGCTAAGCGCTTTAAAGTTTGGTCCATCCAGGCTCTTGACCAGTTCCTTAAAAACTATCTATTTCTCTGTGCACCTGATATCTAACATCAGGTGATTCCAAGAGACCCTTGAGAACTCACAGGTGTATAATCAGTTATCAGTTGTGCTTCATACAATGTGTGACTTGTCTTTAATTTTGACAATGTTTTAAAATGCTTTGTGTTATTCTAATTCAATATGTCAATTACTCTTATTTAATAAGAGAACATCACATTGTCCTCAAACCTGTTAACACTGATCATGTTGAAAGATGTTGCAAAGATGTTAATTGCATTTAAAAAAAAACTAAAATGGCCTCGGATGCAATTGAGCCCTGAGCTTCATTAAGGAATTAGCAGCCCAGATGGCTTGAAACTGCAGAACCTGCGACTGCATAGGGGAAAACTTTCCTCTCCTAGTTCATAATAGGACCTCTTCATGGGACCTCTAAGTGGAGTGAATGGCTAAACACTCACCTCGTAGCTGAAAGATTGGAGTTTGAACCCACTCAGAGACAACTGGGAGGGCTAAGGCTGATTATCTTCTTCAGAAAGGTCACAGCATTGAAGACTTAGGGTGCAGTCACTGTGAGATGGATTGATTTAACTGCAGCTAACAGCACAGAGAAACACACCAAAATTCCTTTTTTCAAGATGAAAAGAAATCACACAGATAACTGAGGGCTCCTATAACTACTGAAGTTCAAGATTTGCACTAGAAAAGTTATCTTGACAAAAGCTTCTAAAGAAACACAGTAGTATTTAATAAAAGCAAATCCCCCTCCATTACTGTGAATAAGAATAATCAGGAAGAACGTACTTCTTCTTGGTACCCACATACATGCCTCTCTCTCCAGCTCATGGGACTCAGCGTATACAGACTCCTGGCCCTCTGATTTTTACCTCTCCTCCTCCCCATAACCTTTCATGTGTATGTCATCCATTCTCAGAATACCTGTGTTATGTCAAATTTAAGGGCTTTAAGGTATTTACCAAAATTTTCAGTGAAGACATGGACATCCCATTTTATTCAGAAGGAAGCCTGTAGCTCTTCTAATAAGCATATATCCACTCTGGTGCTTCAGGAAACCACTACTTAAACAGAGCCATCTTACCAAATAGCTGCGTGGCTCATACCACTTTTTGTTTTCACCTTTTCCAAGTTCTGTATGGACTGAGTAAGGATTTTCTGTCTCCCCAGGAGGAAAAGTGAACCCTGTTCACATCAGACACTAAATGTCTTCTTCCCTAAACATAGACATGAGGCCCTTACATTGCTTATTCAACTCAGAGAGCCTGTACTTAGAACCTTGTATTTGCCTCAAGGACCTGGCAGTGTCTGCTTTTCATCCCTACACTTTTTCACCTACACTTCGGCAGGCAATGCCGCCTGAAGAATCGCAGGCTTGGAAGGATGGTGTCGATAATCTCAGAGCCCATGGTGGCCACGGAGTAGACCTTACAGGGGGTGATGTGCTTTTATCACTGGACGCATTCAGGCAGTGGCTGAGAGACCAATCAGCAAGCATAGTATAAGGAAAAATAAGGTATCAGTAAAGTATCAGCATTTAGACTTGATCTTGAAACATTTTTGCATTATGTAAAGGGCTTGAGCAACAAATGTGCAGTTGAAGAACTAGAACATTTCTAGAATTATTGGTATCTGCTTGATTTGCTTTTGTCATTCAAAAGATGCTAAATATGCGTCTACTATGTGCCAAATGCTATGTTAGTACTGAAGTGAGAAAATAAATTATTAAAAAATGGGATTTTTCCTTTGTAGAACTTGCAGGTTATTGAACTATTGAACAATTGCTGTGTGCTGTGAGCTGTGCACAAAATTTTACATGAGCTGTTTTATTCTGTGAGATATTATTTTGAATTTATTTTCCTTTTTTAGATGGGGAAGTAGAGGACCATCCATGTCCTCCTCATCTCCAGGATTCCATTGTTTCTCTTACGCAAATTAAACATTCTCATAGAACAATAGAGAAAAAGGGGTTGTGGTGATATTTATAAGAATTAAGAGTTGTGCTGTTTTAAAACTTACTTGTAAAAATTTGTTTCTTAGGCATCCATAAAACCAAAGTGTGGACGTATGATCAGCTTTTCATCAGGCGGAGAGAACCCACATGGCGTAAAGGCGGTCACCAAGGGTCAAAGGTGTGCAGTGGCCCTGTGGTTTACCCTGGACCCACTTTACAGAGAACTGGTGAGTTTTCTGATCCATTAATAAAAGCCATTTCGTTTGTGAGATTTGTTTCCCTGAACCTTCCTTATGGACTGTCTCAAAAACCTTTGCAATTGTCCCATAACTGTTCAGGAACCTTGGAGTTCGGGGGAAGGAGGTTTATTTTATGGAATCACTTGTCTTTGGTTTCCAGCACTGATATTGTTTTATAAGGAACGGCTGGTTCTTGGTGAGATCCATGACCTGACGTTCATTTCTCTGGCCTTTCCGCGTGTGAGTTTGGGCAAGAGGGGATTGACTGTGAAAGCATCTTAACCAGCAGGATTCTAATAAGTAGACACGTTAATAAGTATATTTGTGGAAGTGCATATGTCATTAATCAAGTGTAAATTTGATCAATAAACTGCAGCATCACAAGATAGGAATCAATTTCTGCTAGCCACTGTTGTTATCCTTGTTATATGTCGTCGGGTCTCCTGCAACTCATAGTGACCCTATGTGCAGCATCTCTGAAGCCTGCCCTGCCCTGCACCAGTCTCACTGATTCCAACACACCTACCTCCATTACCCCAGTTACGATTTCAATCCATCTCATACCGGGTCCTCCTCTCCTGCACTGGCCCTCCACTCTAGCATGATGTCCTTCTCCAGGGAGCAGTTCCTCCTAGCCACGTGCTCAAAGTATGTGAGACAGAGCCTCAAAATCCTAGACCCCAAGGAGAAACTTGTTTTCACCCTCTCTAAGACAGACTTAGATGTTTTCTTGGTGGTCCATGGTATGTTCAAGACTCTTCTCCAGCACCACAATTTGAAGGCATCGATTCTTCTTCTGTCATTCTCAGTTGTTGTCCAGCTCTGTGACGCATAGCAAGTAGTTGTGAAGACCGTGGCCTGGATTAGGCTCATCTTTGTCTCTAGACTGACATCATTGCTCTTCAGCACTCTGGAGAGGTTGCTAACAGCAGATTTTCCCAATGCAATTCGTCTTTTGCTTTCCTGACTGCTGGTACCAAGAGTGTTGATTGTGGAGCCAAGCAAACTGGCCACTACGGAGACTGATTTCTTCTCTCGTGAAATTAGTAAAAAAGAGCACAAACTAATTTGGGAAACATGTAGACAAGAGTGGAGACTCCTGAAAGACCATTGTTGTTGTTACTGTTATAAGTTACTCAAATCAATTCCAGCTCATAGTGACCCTCTGTATGCAGACTTTCATCAACTTCATTGAGTTTCCAAGGCTGTTGACTTTCAGAAGCAGGTTGTGGAGTTTGAACTGCCAACCTTTCAACTAGTAGTCGTGCACTAAGCCATTTACACCACCCAGAGATTTAAGTAGCTGATGATGTTTAGCTTTCATGAGAGACCTTGATCTCATCTTTATCTGACAAGCTACACTTGGGCAGAGGTTAAAATCTCCATCTGTGAGGCCACTGAAGGATGCATTAAGACAAATGGTTTAATGTCCTTGGGAGAAAAATCGGGGCTCAACATCAGGAATAACTTTAAAATACTCCCAGCCATGTACCTCGTCAAATAGTAGCGACTACTTGAGGGAATAATCTGCTTTGGAAGTAGTGAGTGCCTTGTCCCTACATACGTCTAAAAACTCAGCAACTGGTTGGCCTGGAATGCTGAAAATGAAGCAAGCATTGTAGTGGGAGGTAAACTTTCAAAGGTCCCTGGTAGCGCCAAGTATTTATGAAGTCATGAACTTCTGATCTTTAAAATGACACTTTATCCAGTTTTCTTTTTTAATCCCCAAATAAGATTTGAATACAACCTTATTATATACTATTTAAAAATAATACCTCTTCTACATCTTCCAAATGCCAGTATTGCTCCAAAGCACGCTTGTACTAAGGAAACTAGGTAGGTAAATTATTAGGTGGTGAAGATAACAGGTTATTGAAAGAAATACATGTTAACCGACTGTGGTTTTCAATTTTAAAGAGATTCCATTATTCAGTGATCTAGCACTCTCCTTCAAGGGAAATTAAAAGACAAATTGCATTGGGAAAGTCTGCTGTCAGAGACCTCTCCAAAGGTACTGAAGAGCAACGATGTCAGTCTGGAGACTAAGGTGTGCCTGATACAGGCACAGTTTTGCCATTGCTTGCTATGCATCAGAGAGCTGGACAAGACTAGGGATAATAGAAGGACAATTGATGCCCTTTGAGCTTTGGCACTAGAGAAGAGTATTGAATATACCATGGACTGCTAGGAGAACAAACAAGTTTGTCCTGGAGAGGATGAAGCCAGACTGTTCCTTGGAGACAAGGATTCTGAAGCTTCGTCTGACATATTTCGAGCATGTTGCAAGGTGGGATCAGTCCTTGGAGAGGGACATCATGCTTGGGAGGGTGGAGGGACAGCGCAAGAGAGGAAGATCCTTGATGAGATGGATTAATTCCGTCACTGACGTGATGGGGATAGGTGTGCCAGAGACAATAAGGCTGACAAGAGACAGAGCAGAGTTTAGGGCTAGTAAAGGGTCGCTATGAGTTACAAGTGACTCGATGGCACATAACAACAACAACAACAACGTAAGATAAATACTACTTTTTCCTATTCCGGAAAACAGCAGCGCCAAAAGGTCTTCCTGTGGAATAAAACTCCAGTCTTTAAGCTGTAGCGCCATCTAGTGACTCTAATGTAAAATGGCCTGTGTTACTTAAGCACCTAACTGAAAGTTTAGTCCATACAGTGTGGAACAGTGTGGATCGCTTCCTTTGCTGCACATTGCAATCATCTGGGATATTTTTTGAAAAAGAAAATGTACAGTTCGTCACTTGATTTGGAGCACCCAAACTTAAATGCAACCTGTAGTTTCAAACTAGTCCCTGTGTAAGGTCTGTTAAAAACCTTCTGTTAAAAACCTGAAGTGCATAATGTTGTCAGCTGCCTTCAAGTCAAATACAACTTCATGTGCATCATCATGAAGTACATATAATAACTCCTAATAACAGACTTTAGCTTTGCAATGCATTTCCATACATTATTGTTAACTCAGCATTTAGTTTGAGATATTTGTTCACTGCCGATACTCCTATCTGGATTCTGCTCGCAAAAATTCTGTTGGTTTGGGTGAATCTTGGCTATGAGAAGATTGAAAAGCTCCCTAGGTTTCAAAATCTCTCAAATGCAGCAAACCTTGGGAGTCAGTAGCCTAGGCACTTTCTCTGACTGAATCCTTGAGCGTGGAAAGCATGTGTGCTTTTATGAACACGTCATTAGAGCCGGCAGATGGATGTTCACTATAGATCACTTTAAAGGCATACAATCTCAAGAAGCAGTCAGCATCATAAATGTGAAAGAATGCAAAGACACTAAAAGTGTCAGTACCCTGTGTATGTGTTTACAGCTTCCAACATTGTTTGCCTTCATTAATGACGTGATAGCAACAGGATCTTGTGTTTAACGTATCTGAAAAGTCTGTGTGTCTGGTGGCCTAGTGGTTAAGAATCTGCTCCGCCATCCCAAAGTCAGGCAATTTGAATCCGCCAGCTGCTCCTTGGGAAAAGGATGGGCAGGCTCCTCCTGTGCAATTTACTGCCTCAGAAAACCCACTGGAGGGTCAGCTCTGTGTTATTTACAACTCAATGGCACACACTGAGTCAGCATTAGTATCATTTCCCCCTATTTATACAGTATCACTCGGGGATTTTATTTCGACATCATTAAAGCAACTTAGGTTATATTCTTATGTATGTTCTTTCTGTGTTCCTTTTACATCAACATAGTTTTCAGCTTTTAAGTTCTTGAGTGAAAACGCCCTTTTTGTTAAGACATACAGTTTTTATTTGTGTGACTTGATGTGCCCCGTAGAATTCTTGAGAGGCCCAGACTCAGTTCTCAAGCAGGGCATCCAAAGCACAGCCGCCATCCTTCTCTTGGTGCAGACTAGTATGTGACTGTGCTACCGAACCTATTCCAGCTGAGCTTCTGCGTTAAGGCAGACTAGGAGGAAAGGTCTGGCAATCACTTCAAAAAATAACTCACTGAAAAACCCTATGGATCTCAGTAATCCACTACACAACCCATCATCTCAGTAATCCACTACACAACCCATCATGATAATGGAGCAGGAATAGGAAGCATTTTGTTCCATTATGGATGGAATCACCATGAGTCTGTGTGAATGGAGACCCAGCAAAAAAAACAGCCATGTGCTCTTGATCATATAGGAAGTACCAGCATGGACACAGCTGTGCAAAGGATAATCCTTATGTTAAAGAAGCTTAAGGTTAATGTGGAGAAAGAATACAGCTGCTTAGTTAATTAAAATGCATGACAACATTCACAAAAGTTGTTAAGAAACACACGCATTGTATTTATGCGGTATAAGAAATAAACTGATAGGTTTCATTGAGGAAACGATTCCAGAAAGAGAACACATTATAAAGGCTCAGAGATAAGATGTTAAAAGTGTTCAAGACACAAAGAAGGCTCAAGTGGCTGGGTTGTGAGATGCAACAGGGAACTCAAAACCTCATTGCCATCCAGTCAGGACTGGTTCAAGGCTGACCCTCCACTGGGTCTCCCAAGCTGTAAATAGAATGGGAGGAGATTGTCCATTTCTCTCTCTTATGGAGATTCCAACCAACAGGGAGATGGGGCCTTGGAGTTGAACCACCAACAAGCTGGACCTTTGGGTTAACAGCATAACTTCCTATGGGTTTAACTAGTCATTAGTTATGGGTGGTGAGTACTGTTAGATTGGAATGGACTCATAGCTGACCCTCCAGCAGGTTTTCAAAGGCAGTAAACTGCATGAAAGAAGATTGCCCATCTCTCTGCCCATGAAGTAGCTGGTGGATTCTAACCATGTACCCTTGTATTGGCTGCATACCTTCTTACTACTAAGCCACCAGAGCTCACTTAATCATTAGTTGTTCTTTTTGTTATGTTCCATCAAGACTGTATATACAATAGCTCTGTACTCTGCCCTGTCCTGAGCCAGTCACACTGATTCCAACACACTTTGACCCCAGTTGCTGTGCAAATCTATCTCATCCAGGGTCTTCCTCTCCTGCTCTGTCCCTCCACTCTTCTAAGCATGATGTTCTTCTCCAAGGGCTGGTCCCTCCTGGCCACATGCCCAAAGTATGTAAGACAAAGCCTTGCCTCCAAAGAGAAATTTGGTTTCACCCTCTCTGAGACAGACCTGTTTATTCTCTTGGAAGTCCATGGTATGTTCAATACTCTACTACAGCACCACAACTCAAAGGCATCAATTCATCTTCTGTCCTCCTCAGTCGTTGTCCAGCTCTCTGATGCATAACAAGTAATTGCAAAGACCACGGCCTGGGTCAGGTGCACCTTAGTCTCTAGACTGGCATTATTGCTCTTTGACACTTTGGAGAGGTCCCTGACAGTGGACTTCCCTAACGCAATTCATCTTTTGATGTCCTGACTGCTGGTGCCAACAGTGTTTATTGTGGAGCCGTTAGAACCATTAGAGAGATGTAAAGAGGCCATAAAGGAGGAAGCAAGGGCTGTAATCTATAGGCCTATTAAGAAGTGATAATTTTTTTGTAAACATTCATGAAAATCACAATTTAAAAAAGATTAAAAAGAAGTGATAATTGTATTCCATTTGTGATGCAATAGTGTTGTGATTTTTCTAAGCTACACCTAGTCCTAACTCCAGGGAGTTGTAAGATGTGAACCATTACTTTGGCTGACAGGTAGGTTTAAAGAAATGTAATAAGGGAGAAGGTAAAAAATGTGGAAGCTTTGAGATGTGGCTTGAAAATTGACAAATCAGACTTGATAGATTAGATGGTAAAATTGAGGGGAGCAGGAAAAAGCATCAGATACAACGGAAACCAAGTCCATGTCCCTAGGTGGTACAAATGGTTATCACACTTAGCTGAAAGGATGGATTTTCAACTTACCTAGAGAAACATCAAAGAAGGGGCTGGAGATTTAAAACAAAAAGCAAGCCATTGAAAACCCTAACATATATGAGGCCCCTTCAGTCAGTGTCAACTTGATGGTATCTGGTCGAGCAATAAATAGGAACTGATAATGATTCCATTTAAGTGGAAATGAGACATTAGAGAAATGCAAGTGAGGAGGGAAGTTAGGGATCAGTTTGACCGCTGCTGGATCAATTGTGTTAAGGGATGGTGAGGGCCTTAACCCTGTGGTGCTCAAGTTGGAGTCATCTTGCTCTCCAATGGATATTTCACAATGTCTGGTGGCACTCTTGTAACATCTTTAGAACAGATACAGTTGACATTTAATAGGTAGAGACAAGACCAAAGGTCCTGTTACTTTTAATAATCCATAGTAAAGCCATCTATGTTGTTGTTGTTGTTAAATGTCATTGAGTTATAGACAACTCAGCAACTGTATGAAATAAAGACCTGAACTCTTGTGTAAGTTTCATCATTTCTCCAAGTTCATAGGGTTTCCAGAAGCCAGCTATTTTGAAAGTGGATGCCACTCCTGCTTCTAAGCTTGTATTAATCAGGGAGCTCCACCAAACACTGTCCACCATGGGTGGCCAATATCGCATTTGGCACATCAGGGCACAGTGTTCAGCATCAAAGCAACCACAAGTTACTTCTGTATGGCAAGTGGACACATCAGGGCTATACGACCTAGAAGAATGTTTGAACAAAAACAATTAAAACCAGGCCTGAGGGCCACAGAGTACTGTCTATATGGTAATACTAGTTACAAGTTTTATCTTTTTGAGCTAAAGAAAATGTATAATAGTCAACTTAGATCATAATGTTAAGTTATAACCTAACTATCAGTTTATATTCTATCTCATAAAACAAAATTTGAATTGCAGAAATACCTAAGATGATAGGAAAAAATGCAATAATTAACTCAAATACTCCATATTACTTTGCCACTTTACAAAATAACTTACAAAGGTACCAGGAAGTGGTGTCAAACCTAGTTGAAAATTATTTTTCTCAAATTAAGGCATTTGTTTGGCCATCTATAGTGACAACATTTAGACGCCTTGCCTAGCCTAGCCTAAGATAACAGTTAGGTGCACTAAAGAGTAAAGGATAAAAATAATGTTGTTAGATCTTCTTGAGTTAACTGACTGTTAGGGACCCTACAAACAACAGATCTGAACCTTGCTCTATTTTGTCCGTCCCCAGTCACTGTGTCAGTCCGTCTTACTGAGAGTCATCCTTTCTTTCTCTGCCCCTCCACCTGCCTCAGCATGGTGCCTTTTTCCAAGGATTGGACCCTTCTGAAAACATGCCCAAAGTTTGAGACAAAGTTTCTCTCTCTTTGCCTTTATGGAGAGCCCTCATTGGTTGTACTTCCTCCAAGACAGACTTGCTTGGTCTTTTGACAGTCCGGGGTGGAAATAGGCAGTTGACTAAAGCTAACTAGGTGAGTTTGGGCACGAGAAATTGTAGTCAATCTTTTAAACAGGACAAGCAGGTGACCAGTAGTGGTGTTTTCTGTGGAAGGGAATAGATGAAGAACAGAGCAAGTCAGTGAGAAGAAACAAATTGGCGAAGGCTGTGGATCCACTGGTTGAACATAGAAGATTCCTCCTCAGTAGAGAAACCTTACAAGTAATGAGTGAGTAAGTATATAGGGTGATCAGGAGAAAGCACCAGTGTCAGAGTGATAGTAAGGTTTAACCTATGGCTGACTGTCCGTGTACAGATGCGTGCCTGGAAATATTGGGGGTGGGGGCAGCAGCTGTGTTTGGATTGATTATTATACTCATAACAGAAATGTGTAAATTGTGTTTTTTTGCAGGAGCGAATAAAAGCTGATGAAGTGATCGCAATTCTAGATCGAGAACAGCGAGGGAAACATGAACCGAATATCAACCCCAAAGATGAGCTATAAAAGCAGAAGAATGTTCTATCAAATATTTATTTAAATCGTTAATCTTATGAGAACTTTTTTATTTTTGTACAGAGCCATGGTATAAATTAACAGGTTAATATGAGTCAAAGATCTCCCTTCTATTCATAAGAACGCTTGCTTTGCCTCTCTCAGTCTATCTTTCTTAGGTTTTTCGTAGATTCATCTCCCAAAGCCCCGTCTACTTTCTCTTATACGTACACACACACACACAGAGGGAGAGGGAGAGAGAATTCATTTTCCACAGATTTAAAACAAAAATAAGGTTTTTTCCGGGCAAAGCTATAACTCTCATGTATTCTTCAGCCTTAAGTGGGTTTGCAACTTCGTCTCAGATCTCTCTACCTTTTTGCCTTTAAGCTATTTCCTTCTCATCTCATTGAAGACTGCTACTCTCCACAGTCACCTCAGCCTTGTGCCTGAGGAGCCCCTGGCAGGGTCAGAGCTTCATACCATTTCGGAGTGGTTCAGTCATGACTGATAGAGCCAAACCAAAACACACTTGAATTTTTAAAATTTCAGTGAAGTGGAATGACAGCTGGAATGAGAAAAAGGGCTGGTGTGCTGAAATGGCAAACTCAGACAGCATATAATAAGCCCTTTCAGGAGCCTGATGGGAGAGGGTATATTATTTCTTAATCTGTGGAGAGCAACACATATTCAAAGCATTGTGGTTGGCTGCATCTTTGAGTTGGGCATCACTGCTTTCAGCTCCACCAATCAGGACATTTGGTTGTTATGCAACACATAAGCGAGCCTTGTTTCCTAAGAGGGAGAGTGAGTTTCTAACAGAATATCTATATCAACCTGCAGATTCTCCAATTCCAGTTACGGTTTGGATTCACCTGTGTTTTAAAAATTTTAGTTCATTCTGATGTTTCATTGTCAGCCCTGACGGAAGTAGGAAGAACTGGTTCACAGCCCTGGTCAGAAAATTATCTGGCATCAGAAATGGAACTACATTGATGAGTACTGGGTGAGACAGCAAGTCTGACACCTTCACTCCCTGCCTTTCTGAGGCTTTGGTGGAGTTTTTGGTCTCTGGAATGCTCACCAGAGAACAAAATTAACACTGGAAGCTTAGACTGACCCTCCACAGTCCTCTGGAAAGGACTACCCATTGGACTGTGTAATTAAAAAAGATTACATCAGGAAAAAAAAAAATTTAAAAAAAAAGATTACATCAGGAGTAAAATATATTTCTCAGTGACTTGAAGGGAAAAAAATTTTCAGTCCTACCTGGATCAGAACACCATTGCCAGATTGCTTGAAGTGAGGAAGAGTCCTTTGTGCTTAAGTAAATAAAATGCATTTCTGATTTGTCCCAGTCTTCATTTGCATGCGATTTGTGCCCCTTCTCTTTGCTGCTTATCCAGCCCTTGGGTTTGTGCTTGTGTCTGATTTGTTTAATAAAGGGAGCTTTATTTTAATACCTGGTATTTGTGTTTATCCTCCCAAATATTTTGGATTATCTTCAGTATCTTTCAGATACTGATTTTGTGGTCCCACAGGAAAGGCTGAGACTCCCACGGAGCAAATCACTCGTTTTGCTGCCCCGCTCAGGGCCCAGGGGAAGGCAGAGGCACTACTTTTGAAGAAACAAGAGGTTTTCTGCAGACAGCAGTGTTACTGCAAAGACTTGTCTTGCCATTAGCCCTAATTTTAAGAGAACAGGGCAAAAATCTTGTATAGAGGGGTGGGGATTGTGTCAGCCAAGGGCAGCTGGCCTGTGTTTACTAACGGGTACTGTCTTTGTGATGGGTAATGATCTTTAGAGAGGTGACCTTTAAAAGGAAAGTGAAATTTGGAAAGGAACTCTAAACTCATTTGCCATTGTGTCAGTTCCAACTTCCAGCTGACCCTCCGTTATGTGTCACAGGCTGTAAAAAGCGGCTGGAGGTGACTGCACACTCTGTCCCACGGAGACACAGGTGGGCTCACACCAGCCGAGATGTGCAGCTTGTGGGTTGGCAATGCAACTTGCTTACTGACTAAGCTGCCAGCAGTCAAAATGTTTTCTAAAATGCCAATTTACTTTCTGGTCTTACTTCTGATCTTAGTTAAAGGTAAAAACTTTAATTCTCTGAAATTAAGTAACTGACGATAGTTATTTGGACATAGCCTGCTTTCTGCTCAACCTGATGGTTGCATTTCCTTACCTGTCTCTGCTCCACCAGATAGAACCTGCTATGTGACCCTGAACCCCCCTCTTTTCCTTTCTGGGCTTCAGTTTTCTTTTCTGAAATATGATGTAAGTGGTTGCAATAATTTCCAAAAGCTTTCTTCTTTCTTTATATACAAAAGCAAGCAAACCAAACACAGAATTGATCTGAGAAATGTTCAAATACAACCAAACTTGTTTCTGCTAATATTTTATGTTGTTGTTGTTGTTATGTGCCGTCGAGTTGTTTGCGACTCATACTGACCCTATGTACAACAGCCCTAAACCATGCTCTATCCTGTGCCAATCTCATTGCCTCC